GGTAGATGCAGATCAGCTAATAGATCTTTGAAGCGGGAAACCTACAGCGAATTTATCCAAATGCCAAGCTAAATTAAAACACGGAAGCCTTTGAATTATGAGCATTAAAAATATGGTTTATTTAATTCTTTCAGGTACACTTTGTATGTACAGGGTAAGGCATCACTTTAGCCTATAGTTTTCACGTATTTTCCGTAGCTTAAAATTGTATAGACATAAAAATATTTATAATTGAAATTATGTAGATTCGAAAGAAAATCTTAATATGATGATTAATAGAACAACGATTTAGAGATACCTTAGCATCGATGCGCCAGCTTACACGTATCGGGTAGTTATGTACCAAATAGGTTTTATAAATATGAAAAGTAAACAATATGGAAATTTTGATTAAGTATACCAAACAGTACAAATTAATTAAAACAAATAAGTGTCCGTTAACTCCTAAATTTTTGTTTTCATGGGGTATTTTTCCCTTAGGTATATCGTGACTCGGGAATAAACTGGAACCTCTGGAACAAATGGAACGAACTCACCTAAATGTCCAGTTGTAAGTTCTGGGCGTAAGTCACGATTGAGCCAATGGTGAATACTTGGAACAAACTCCAAGCCAGCGAATCCGTGCAGTTTCGTGTTTTCTTTCTTTTCTTTCTTTTTCCGGTCTTCAGGAAATAGATTGAGGTAGCCAACCGAAGAGAGTTGAACAACAATGGGGGTTGGGGGTAGAGACAAAGAATGGGAAGAATAAAATGGCCAGAGATATCAGGCGGCCATTTTGTGATAATTTCCTATCGAGGAATTTGAGGAATCCTTTTGGCTTTATGCCCAAAAAGCTTGGTCAAAATCAGCAATTTTTTTTGCTCAGGATGCTATACGAAAGGCGTTAGCCACCCAAAACCAATTAGGGCACAATTCCACAAAATAGATCGGCAAAAAAAAAAAATGCCTCGAGAACACTTCAGATGCAGCACTGCAGAAAGCGATACTCGAACTGAGGAATTAAAAATTCGGGTTTCCTCAAAAAAAAAATTGGTGCTTGAAATATTTGCGTTCAACAACTATTTTGGTACTATAGTAATTTATTTCGTTCGGCCTTGGTACCTATTTTATACGATTACATGAATAATTGAGTACCTATCTATTTTCCTTATTTCAGCTTTAATTATCTCCTCTATTCCAATCAGAGTAGGCTCATATATATTTTCTTTTCTATTAGACAAATTTAGTTAATTAGTTAATGAATTAATTAATTAATTTTTCTATGCCCTGATGCAGTATGTATTTTTAATCAGAAAATTGATTTCCCAGTCAGAAAAAAAAAACTATCTGTCCGCTCTGACTAAAGTTTGAGTCCCGGAAAACTAAAACCGTTACAAATGTTGAGGGTTTCGTGGATTTTGGAAGAAAATCCTTTCGCAAAACTCCTGGTAGTCGATTCTCGAATTTGGTAGAAGTGAACGTTCCCCTAAGAGAAGTGAGAGATCACATCGCACACTCGTTCTCTTGGTGCCAAAGTTGGTATTCTCGAACGTATGGGATTATGATAGAATGAGAAAAAACTTGTCAAATCATAATGCGTTGTTGCCAACAGTAATATGTAGAATTAGCCACAATTTTAGTGCGTTAAAAGGACGAATGTCATGAGAAAGAAGAAAATCAGTTTATTTATTTGTGTTTTGGGACGTAACCAACCTCATTATTTGCTTATTTATTTGCTGAAAATCAAATCTTGCTAGTGGAGACGATATTTGGTCGCTGAAGATCTGCAGTAAAGCTACGCTTATAATCATTCTATTTCCAATTTTTATTTTCGTGTTGTTTTGTTTATGTGAAAAATGAATTTGGAAAAATCAAGATGTTCACCTATAAATCATACTCAAAAAGAAATTGCTCATTGAATTTGTAAGGCAAAATGAGAAACTTCAAAGTGGAAGGCTACGGTCGACATTACGGACAGTAATTTTGTAATTTTTTCCGTAAAGATTCAATAAAACGATAATATTTTATCAGTTGTTTGCCTTTTATAGGTGTCCACTAACCTATTTGAAGCACCAATAATTATTTAAAATACATTTTTTGTAAGCTAGGAAATTAACAAAGAAAAGGTTTTTCACGTTTTTGGTGAATTTACGCTTCCAAGGATCTTCTTTGAAGGTGCTTTTGAAAAGAGGTTTTTCACGTTTTCGATGGATTTACGTTTTCGAGGATCTTTCCTTTGAGATTTGGTAAGCAGAGCGAGCAGTCCTAGACTTAAAAATGTTTTAAATTTCAAGAACTGGTTATTTGAAAATGGTTTTTCGCGTTTTTGGTGAATTCACATTTCCGAGGATCTTCTCTTTGAGATTCGGCGAGCGAAGCGAGCATTTGATTGGAGACACAAAAATAATTTAAATTTTATAAGGTGTTATTTTAAAAAAATGTTCACATCAAACAAAAAAATACCATGGATGATGACTGTAGAATTGTCAAAAAGCGCATGTTTGACGTTTGGTTCTCCCAAGAACAGACGTTCTCTTCAAAAAAAGTAGTAGAATAAAATTCTCTCAACTTTCATAGGAAGTGAACGGTCCTTAATTTCGAGAATACGTCGTAATAGATTTTAATAGAACCACGTGTACTTTTCCTATGAGAACAGGGATCACACGATTCGAGAATCGCCGTCCTGGTGAATGATTTGATGGATGATGTTAATTCTTGATTGAGCTGAATGGATGGTTTGTTGGACTGCTATTGACCTTTTGGAAGAGAATGGAAAATACGTGTGACGAATAAATGATATATTTTGACAATTCCTGTTTATAGCAACAACTTTCTCTTGTCTAATGACAATAACAAAACTATGCTATGTTGATAAACATTAAATCAGAAAAGAGGAAAACTATTGTTTGGGGCATGAACTGCACAGCAATAATTCTAAAATACATACCATATATCACTATACATGTAATACATAAGATCACTCCACATATATCAAGTTTTTGATTCAATTAATACATTAAAAGTTAAACTGTTTTTAATAAGAATTAATACTCCATCATTTCTATTGAAACTTCCGCCGCTATGAACTGTCACGAAACCAGGCATATTGAGGTTCTCAGAAGCCACTCCCTGGAAGCACTCACCCAACACAAAGATGTCACAGTTCATCAGCTTGTACGCCTCAACCAGAGTAATGAAATTATCGAAATTTTTATTTGCACTCCGTATATTAAAATGCATAATATTTAAACATTTATCCGAAGATGCTAGAAGAGTTTCACATTTTCTAGGATGGATATAGTCACCACGATGATCTTGATCTAATTGTTTAAGAGAACATATTTCATTTGTCATTGGAGTATGACATAGAGCTAGAAACCTTATTTCATTTAAATATTTAGAAATTATTTATTTTACTTTGGTTCATTCGAAACTCCAATATCTTATTTCAATATGGGCATCTACAAATTTATCGCATTTGAAACCATTACAATTACAAATTATGCAAAACAAGATTATCAAATGTATACATAAATTATCTTATGCAGAACAATTTGTAAACTTATATAATGAACTACCATGGCCTCCCAGAAAACATTAAAGCAATTCTAAACCTAGAAATTTTTAAAAAACATACAAAAAACTATTTTTATAATAGCATTAATTGATTGGATAATTATATTTTTCGTTCGGTAAATCTTGTTTTTAAAATTATTTATTTTATTAAAAACCAAGAAGTTACAAGAAAAAATACTAGACGCTAATTGCTGTGGCAAACAGCCGATTACAAAAGAATCTTGATTCTAATTGCTTAGTGGAAGCTAATAACAAAAGAATGAATACAGCGAGCTCTGCGCGCCGTATTTATATTGAAATACTGCTGACGCTTGCATTTGTGTGGGAGAAACTTTGATATGACGGTACTTTTCCAAGCAGTATCTCTTACTCAGCATCTTTATAATATCGTGGGCTTTTACAGTGGCGTAAGCTTATGTTCAACATTGAAAAAAGGAATTATTTGTATAATAATAACATAGGGTTTTATATTATAACTGGATGATGGATTATTATTATTAATATACAGTGTCATTACTTAAGTGTGCAACATATGGGATTTTTTTTTAGTATTAGCACAATCAAAATTCAAACAAGGTCAAAAGTTGGTGCATCTCTAATAATCATATTAGGTGCACTTAGAATGGTTGCAAGTCAAACAGCATACAGGGTAGCTCAAAAAATATCAAAATTGTAGTAATATTTACTTGAATAAAATAAAACTTTTGCACTTTGAGGAGAGTTTTTTTAATATGGCTATTATCATTAGTAATGTTTTAACTTGTTAAAAAAAAAATTGCGATATTTTAAAGTTGTGTTCAATATCATTGCAACAAACATCAATTTTGTGATTCCATAAAAAATTAAAAATCTAAGTTAATTTTACAAATATGCTTGAATTTGAACAAAGTTATGTAAAATTGATTTGATTTTAATTAATTTTTGAAAGTATTAAAGGCGGAAATAAAAAATAAAAAAAATATAGAAATTATAGATTTTTTTCGAAAAAAAAATAAAAAAAATCTTAGGAGGCTATGTTTTGGTACTTAGGCATAACTTTTAATTCCAAACAAATTTTCTCTATAACATTTTGCTGAATTTTCTAAAATAAGGGTACTTTGATACAGTACAGTACAGCTTTGATATTGTTTGAGCTACCCTGGTATGCTGTTTGACTTGCAACCATTCTAAGTGCACCTAATATGATTATCAGACATGCACCAATTTTTGGCCTTGTTTGTATTTGGGTTGTGCTATTACTAAAAAAAATTCCCATATGTTGCACATTAAAAAAATCACACTGTACATATTTTTTTTATTTCTCTTCCCTCGGTAAAGAGAGCTATTTTCTCTAAACTGTATATATTCCCTATAATATACTCTGTAGTTGGTTGGAAAATAAATAAATTTAGGAAAAATTAAAAATATACATTAATTTATAAACTAAAATTCAATTTTAAATTACAGGTCAATCGCAATGGTGTAATTTTACTGGTCAAAAAGGCGACGACGTGCAAGTCGTGTTTTATCCGTCAATAGAAAATTGCTCATCGACGCCCTACGACAATGGGAGCAACAAAAAGGCTTACTCAGCGTTTCAGTTATACGTGAAGCCTGGTGCTTATTCGGTTACTCGGGAATCATCCGACTTGGTCGAATGGAGTACAAAAGAATCGGGAGCAATAGTTTTGAATTCCCTATTGCTGCAAATTAAATAGGTACTTGATGGTTGGTACTTTTTTTTTACTGTGATTTTTAGTCTAGTCAAGAGAAATAATTTGGTGGAAGTGTTTACACTTTGTGCAAAAATTATTCTACATTTTTGGTGTAAATTAAACTGTTTTCTTTTATATGTATTTTATGTTATTATTTTAGTGCAATTTACTGCTTGTTTGACAAATTTATATTTGTTCAATACCTATGCTTTTTAGTTTGAGAGAAAATCTTCACTGAGGATATGTAATTATAAGGGCATTACATGTAATTTTTTGCCCTGAATTTTAACTTTATTTCCATAATCTATAGATTATATTAATCTGTACGTGATCTGTATCTAACATTGCGTTACAAAATGTACTGTATCAGTTATTAGTAATTACAACACCCTTGTATTTAACAAGTGATGTGAAGGTTCAAAAATTGCAAGCAAGAATGCAGACATGTAAGTTCATCAAACACTTGTAGTAAGTATTTTGCGTCCATAGATAATAGATAACTTCTAGATTAAGCTTGTGTCAAAATAAATGTTCCAGATACTCACCAAAAGGAACGTTTATCGCATCATCCTGATATACCTCATTGATCAAGTTGCATCATAATATACAAAATACATTGAAACGCCTATATTTTAAATTTTATTTTAAACATACGTGATTTATAATAATTTTACATAAATAAGATACAAAAAAATTTAGGTTTTCAAGCTTTCATTTGACACATAAGTATTATTTTAAGCTAGTTTAAGTATATTTATTTGGTCAATAAATAGTTTGCTTAATATTTGGGTATGTTTCAAAGAAGAATCGATTTTAATTTTATCCCCATACTCTAACGTTCTGATCCCAGCTACAAGTCGCTATGCCAATACCATTTGGAGCTACAGATAGTGACGTTACTCGGTTTTCATGCCCAGATAACAAACCTGAAAAAAAATACTATAATAATTAGTTTGAATTTGTATTTGCTGATACATGAAATATAGGTTCGAAGTATCGACGTCATTGAGGTTTCAACAAACTAGACACACAAAATTCTTACCATTATGAGTTCCTTTCAACGTATCCCACATGTGAACATTATTATCGTCAGACCCGCATAAGATTATCCTGCCACTTACAGACAAACCACAAGAAGTAAATCCACTTTTTTCTGAGGGCGGTTTGTAGTGAGATATTTGCTGATCCGCTCTGATATCAAACATACGCGCCGATTTATCTTCTGAGCCGGTGGCGAAGGCGTAACCACTAGGATGAAACTGTAAAAGCGCCAGTGAATATTGATTGATATCTAAAAAATATAATTCTTACACAAACAGAATTAACATCAGCAGTATGTCCAAAAAACACTTGTTTGGGTTTCATGTCCCTTACGTCCCACAACATGCAGGTTTTATCGACACTTCCTGTAACAAAACTGTTGCCGTCTAATGATAAACTTATGGAAACAACGTCGCCGTTGTGTGCTGATACGTCCGTAGTTTTTCTACCAGTTTCCAAATCCCATTTACATCTAAAATAATGAATATTGATTATTTTTACCTATATCTTGTGAGTTGTTGTTTCTCACATTTTCATGTCTCCTGAACCAGTTATTATAGATGTATCATCCAAAAATCTGCATGAACTCAGAAAACCATCATAACCGGCTAATTCTCTGGACATTTTAGCTACTCCTGATGCGTCTCTGTTGTTTAGGTCGTAGATTGTGCACATGTTGTCCATACCACCACAAGCTACAACATTTTTTGCATTAAAAATTTTTCTTGTTTTATCTTTTCATTTAAAATTACCGACAAAATTTCCAGACACTGCAAAGGTGACGCTCATTACCCAAGCAGATCTCAACGGTATAATTTGCACTTTGTTTCCAGTGTAAGTGTCCCAAATGATGAGTTTGCCATCCAGCGATCCAGTGACGCAATGTCTACTGTCTCCGCTGTAGTGTACCGAATTGACTTTGTTCAAATGTCCTTTCATCATTTTTCTGGTGACCAATTTGATTGGCGGTACGTTTTCTGCCGATTCACACGCGCTTTCTAGGGTCGTGTCGGCACATTGTTGCTGAGATTCCTACGAACAAACTTTTGTTGGAAATTAATCCTATCAATAACTAATTTAAGTAGGTAGATATAATATGGAAATTTCAGGATTTGCGGTAAGTTAAACTGCTATAACATTTTACCTGTATTTTCTTGTACAAATCCTCCAATTCTTTTCGCAAACTTTGAGTTTCTGGATCAACTTTAGGACCCATTGTTAACTATACTATCACAGTTATCCGTTGCGTAAGTTTTCTACGATCCGGTTATTAAACTGACCTTACAATGTACTATATTGGATAATCTTGTAAGCGCTTAATTTAATAATGTAGGGGCGGGCAAACTGAGCGAATCCTTAGAGGTGATTTTTTTTTTGGTTTTAACCCAATTGCTTATATTGATTGAAATGACGTCGTAGGAAAATTATTTATGCAGAGCAAGTTGATTCTACACCTTTTCCATATGTATTTCAGAGATCGTCAGTTTAATTTCAGAATGCGTCAATTGAAATTCAGATTAGTAAATTGTATTTCGGAAAGCGTCAATTGTATTTCAGAATAAATAATTTTATCTGGGAAAGAATCAATTGTATTTCAGATTAGTTTATTTTATTTCAGAAAGTGTCAATTGTATTTCAGATTAGTTAATTTTATATCAGAAAGCATCAATTGTATTTCAGATTAGTTGACTGTAGTTCAGAAAACGTGAATTGTATTTCAGAAATTGTCAGATGTAGTTCGGAAATTAGTAGGTATCTACGCAGATTTCCCCAAATCAACACAAGATAGGTGTATAGGTGACTCATTATAAATTTTATTTAATACACTACATTGATAATATCTGAAATACATTTGACGAATTCTGAAATACAATTTACAATTTCTGATCTACAAATAAATAATCTGAAATACAAATGACGATTTCTGAAATACAAGTGACCAAACTGAAATAGAAATGACTTTTTCTGAAATACACCTGACGAATCTGAAACAGAAATGATGTTTTCTGAACTACAACTGACAAAGTTGAAATACAAATAACACTTTCTGAAATTGAACTTACACAACTGAAATACAATTGACGCATTCTGAATTAGAATTGATGAATCTGAAATACAAGTGATACATTCTGAAATACTTATGGAAAAGGTGTAGAACGCATTTCTATCTCAGATTCGAAATTGAGTAGGTTCTTGGCAAGGAAATTTTATCATTTTTATACTAAGATAGGATATAAATTTCTACAAACCTTAAAAAATAATATTTTTAATTCTATCATAGATAGGGAATCTTACTCTAGTAGAGGATTATAAACCCTAAAAGTTTCAGTTCATTTGGACTTATAGTCGGGAGATAAAATCCCGCCAAGTAAAGAGAAGGAAATATTCTTGAAATTTTTGGTGGATAAATGTTCAGTTATTAAACCTCTAGCTATTTTGTTTCCTGCCATTTTTAGGCATGTATAACTAATCCTTACGATATTTTATAATTTTTCTATATTCGATTTTGTTCCAGACCTTTCTACTTCTAATTGTGCTATATTATTAATTTTTTCATCACGCTGTTTGCCTTATTGGAAAATGTTTCTGTAAAAGTTTTACCAGGAATGTGTCTGTTTTTCCAAATTTTTTGATACTGGTTTTAATTTTTCTCTAAGCTTGGCTGATCTTAGACAATATTTGGAAGTTCTAAATTATATAATCAGTCAAATCTGTAATATTTTTCATTTTTTATAAATTTCTGTTAGCAACACAAAACAACAGATTTTTGTGTTAGTTTGGTCAATTTGCTGTCAAAAATGGACCATTTCAAGCCTCCGAATATGTTATGAACTGAAGGGGATGTGGCTATTAATTTTCAAAAGTGGAAACATCAATTTGAAATTTATTTTTTGGCTAGTGGCATCCTGGGTAATATCAAAATAACAGACGAAAGTAAAGTTGCTATTTTGTTGCCTTGCCTGGGACCAGAGGGACATGACATTTATAAAACGTTAGAGGTTCCTGAGGAGGATGAGAAAAAAATACGACACAGTTATGGAATAGTTGGAAAATCATTTTAAGCCCAAAGAGAATGAAACAATAATAGACACTTGTTTTGTTTCATAGTAGAAGACAAAAATAGGGTGAATCCTTTGATATGTTTATCAATGATTTAAAGAAATTAAGCATGAATTGCTACTTTGGACATCTCCGAGACAGTCTAAGAAGAGACAGAGTGGTACGTGGAATTTCAGACAGCAGAGTGAGAGATTCCTTACTACGTGAGGCATGCTTAAATTTGACCAAGTGTATCTCCATTTGTTGCAAGGCTGCTGAATTAGCTGGAATGCGGTAAAAGCAGTTCAAGCAAAAAGCGTTTACGGAAGTTTATGCTGTCCGTAGACAAATAGATGGAAAGAAAACAAAAAAGAAAGACGAAAAATGCAAAAAAACAAGGCGATCAAAAAGAATTTAAAGAAAAATGTAAATCATATGTGGTTGGATTCACGGTATCAAATGTTTGGCGTACCGAAAAAAGTGTAGAAATTGCAATGATTACAACCTTTTTGAAAAAATGTGTCCAAAAAGCAGAAATGCACGTTTGTTGAAAAATCAAGAGAATAATAATCAAGAAGAGAAGAACTCGGAGAGTCAAGATCATGATTTCTTTGTAAGAGCAATTATCCACGAAACAAAATATGTAGGTAGCTAGTTTTAAGCAATGGCTACAGTATATTGAAATAAAGGAAAGAGGGTTGTGTGCGTAAAGTGGATATTTGCGCCGATGGTAATGTCCTAAATATGAAGACATCCAGGGATTAGGAAATATAGTTGAAGCTTCTCTTGAGATGCTTAAAGGATATGATAGTTCGAAAATTAATATGTCTGGAGAAACCACAATAATGTGTGAAATTAATGTATAGTTAAGCTTAGCTTGGCCTTTCAGATAATAAATTTGGATGCACCTTGCATTATAGGAATTCTATGCATCGAAAAATTGAATCTGCTTAAAAAAGTACCTACCTAAATACCTTGGATGGTAGACAGCAGTTGGACAAGATTTTAAAAAAAAATATGGTCTTCTGTTTGAAGGTTTGGAAGGACTAGAAAGTTCATATAAAATAAAGATTAATTTTGATGCAGTACCAGTGACTCAATCTCCTTAAAAAATACCCATAGGGCTACAAGATGAAAATAAAAAAAAGCTAGATCGAATGGAAAAAAAAGTTATTAGGAAAGTGACAGAACCTACTGAATCGTGTAGTTTAATGCTAATTGTTGATAATCCTGATGGATCACTTCCCCTTCCCCTATTTTTGGTCCCAAAGCCTTAAATGATGTCATAGTAAGGGAACGGCATGAATTAGGTACCACTATTTGAAGAGCTAGCGTCAAGGATGCCAGGAGCTAAGATTTTTTTCTACCTTAGATGCAAACAAAGGTTTTTACCAAATTGAAATACATAAAGACAGTCAACTTTTAACAAATTTTCACCCTGGTGGTTTTGGTATATATGCTTATTATAAAAGGTTTCCTTTTGGCCTTTGTTCGGCGCCTGAAGCATTTCACAAAAAATTTAAGAAAATTACTGGAGGCTTGGAGGGTGTTTATTACAAGTAAAAGTCCCAATTATCGACCTGTCCCAATTATCGACACTGTCCCAATTATCGACATTTTTGCACTTAAGATCCAAATAATAGGAATTATTCTGGCTACATTCATTGGCATATCATAATAAGAAAGAAGTAATGTCTGGCCAGCGGTTCTGAGTCTACGGAAGGAATTCGGATGTAAATGTGCGATGTTGCCACGTTTTATTATAAAAAAGCGTAAATACCATAGGCATGAAGACCATGAAGTATTATAATTGATTTGAAGATCCATTTTTTAATACCAAAATAAAGATAACAATAAAACGCTGATAGTTATTATTAATACTAGTTCGATATGAACACCATAATGAAACGCGTGTAACGTTAAACCACGAGGCGTTAGCCGAGTGGTTTAGGCTGGTGACACACTACACGCTGGAAAAATAAGTTCCTTGAAACTTGTTGCAAGAAACTGGTAATTTGTTCGATTACCAATGAAAAGGTTCTTCTGGTAACTAACTTTCTTTTTGTATAGGTATATTTTTTAATTTAAAATTTGGGTGTTTTTATGAACTTTGATAATCGCACTACTGCTATTATGAAGGACCTAATGACATTCAAATGACAGTGCTAAATGTGTCATAATAACACCGACGTAGATTATTATTTTATCGTGGCTGTTAGATCTATTCTTATTTTGATAATTGGTTTCTTCAATTTTGTCTATTTTAAAAAATAAAAATTTTCTAAAGATATCGGGTCTTCAAAAAAAAAAAACAATCAAAGATTGCTATGGTTTTTTAAACGTATGTCTTAGCAATATTTTTCTTTAATTTTGTCAATGAACTTTAATGTCAAAATGTCATGTCAAAAATCCTGACCAATAAAGAAACAATAATGCGACGTTCGTTTTCGTAACCAAAGCAATCTTCGATTGGTTTTTTTTTTTTGAAGGCCCGATACCATCAGCATTTGTCAATTTGGCAAGCATCCGGCCTGGATGAACCTGATTGGTGGAGTTTATGGTAAGATCGCAGTTGCCACGGGGAACCATGCTGTTGTCAATGAGCTTACGTCACCTTACGTCTCATTATTGGCCAGGGCTCCCGTAATTTTATCCTCCCATCTTGAAATGTCGATTTATATTGAAATATTCAATGGTGGTGGTTTGGTCATTGTCCATTTTGGTGTACGAATTGCAATACGATATTATACTTCCAAAAAGTTCCGCAGGCAGCTGGGTATTTTATGAATAAAATCAGCCATTTTTTTTTTCACAACTGCATTCCCCTCACCGTTGCCCCGTAGACTTAGTATCGCTGGGCAGACATCAGACATTAGGTTTCTCTTCGATCATTTAATTATACCTACATTCATTCTTGCTCGATATTAAACTGATTAATGATACGAATTCTACACACCTCGTGGATTTTAAACCGGGACCCAAACCCACGGCCTATTGACCAATCAAATTCTCTGTATCTTCAGAATACACGGGCCACAACGACACAATACAAACATAACATGACGTGACGTCTACTGTCAAATCTCAAAACTTTCGTTATAAAATTTTTTGATTTTCCTTGGTTGTTATTTCTTACAAAAACTAATGATTTTCTTTCAAAAAGTTCGAAGAGAACTCGCAAATAATGGCTATTATTCAGACGAATGATTCCAACACTCGCCTTCGGCTCGTGCTTGAATAT